TAGTGATCCTTCTGTTTTCAGCCTCCCAAGTACTGGGAATACAGGTGGGCGCCACCACACCCAGTCTCAGTTACCCTTTCAGTGCACCCCAGGGGGTGGGGCCAGCACTGCACACCTGTGTCAAACCCCTGTCCTTATGTCTGTCTAAGCAGGTGCTTTAATCTGCTGAACTATTTGGCTGGCCCTAGAATGCTATATCTGACAACTCTTAAAATAATAAATTTGTAACTACTGATTTTAATAAAAATAATTGAAAGAGTTCTCCTCTTATTTTGAGAAACACTTCAAGTTATTTTTTATCCTCCAGTTAAAGCATACAGAGTATATTTATGGTAAGGTATTTCAAGATGGTATAAGTGGCAATTTGCAACCTTATGAATACTTTTGAATAAATTTTAAATGGATGACTTAATTATACATCTTCCTTGTTCTCCACAACAACATCTTGTCAGTTTTATACAATGATAAATAAATGATAAGCATTTTTGGATGAAATTTTAACCTTTATTCAGTTTTTTTAAGGGAAGGGTCTACAAGGATGTTCAGGGTCTCATTACTAGATTGGACTTGTAGTGATCCACCTGTTTACAGCCTTCCAAGAGCTGGGATTACAGGCGCCCCACCAAGCCCTGTCTCAATTGCCATCTCAGTGCACCCTGGGGGCAGAGCCGGCGGCAGGCCTGGGGATTGAACCTCCAGCCCATAAGCCTGCTTGCAGGCACTTTAATCCACTGAGCTATTTTGCTGGCCCTTTCTAAAATTTTTAATTAATATTTACTCTGTATATTTTATGCAGAATTGCATGACAAGTAGTTTTTAACTGTGTTCTACTTATTGTACTCTTTCAGTGTAATGCCAATTCTTATTATATAAACGTTCTCTCAAAATACTCACCAGGGGAATAAGGAAGTTTATAGTCAGGATGGCTGGCATTTGGTATTCTAAAACATACCTTATTTTGCCTAAGCCTGTGACCCCGATCATTTTATGCATATGCAGCCTGGATTAAATTTCAAGTACCTTGTTCACTGCTGATATATTCATTGGCTTTATCAATTGGTTTTGTTTTGATTTTGTCACATAGCATACTGTCTTAGTCATCATAACATAAACTATATCTATGTACTGTCTTTCTCCATTAAAAACCTTTCAATAAAACATATCATATGCACAAAAAAAACTAAAGTCTGTGGTCTTAACCTCCAAGTTTTTTTTTCCTGGTGTCACATTTGAACCTCTTTCAGATAAAGTATATGGAGTACCTTCAGTCTCTCCCTCTGTTACCCAGTCTGACTGGGAAAGCAACATGAGAGAATCCCAGAGTCTAGACTTTGAAGCCAGATTTGTGGATTCTGATCACATCCAGCATGCACTAACTCATTACCTCATTTTTCTGAACTTCTTTCTTCTTCCTTAATGTGGGGATTTCCATAAATCTCCTGGGTGACTCTAAGCATATGTCACAGATGGGACATGGAAGGTGGACAGTGTTCCTATGCATAGGTGCTCCACACACAATATTCTGCTACCTTATGCTCACCCCTGTGTTTATGTCCACCTATGACCTTCCCATGCATGGACATAAACATTTTTGTGTCACAAGTCAAGCAAAGTCCTACACTTTGAGAGGGAAGCAGGCCTGCCTCTCCCTCTCTTTTTTTAAGTGGTGGCTGGCTCATTCTTAGGAACATGGAGATCTTGCTGTGTAGTCTCCTGTTTTCTCCTCAGCTCTATCACTTGCATGCTTTGTTCAAGGTTTATCCTGATTGGGAATGAGGACTCAGTGTTTTCCTCTGCCTCTGGTGTGCCCTCCTAAAGCTGACCATTCACTGTGTGCTCTGCTGTAGGATTCCTAGTAACATAGTG